TGTTCCTTTATTATTATCAAATTTACTTATTGTACGTATATAAATATTATAGATTGAAAATATTCTATTTTACCTAATAAAAAAAAGGCTTGAATGATGACTTACAGTGCCCAAAAATAATTGCAATTAAATTACATAACAATAACAATAAGTTTTACAGATACAATCTAATCTATAAGTATTAACTCTTGTACGTAATCAAAACAATCTTAATTTTTAGTAAACAAATAATATTATTTAATACAAATTACACATTGTCGATGTTCCTTCAATAATTTAAGGGGCAAAATGTAGGTCAATTAAGGTTTTGTAAGCTATAGGCTCCTCTCCATATACCGGAATTCAAAAGAGTCCAAATGATAACACAATTTTGAAATATTAAAATTGTTCAAATTATAAAAAAAACAAAGTGTATAATATCTTAACATAAAAATACTTGACTCAAGTTTTTTTTTAAATCAACTAAGGACTTTAATTAATAAAGTTTGTTTTAATTGTTATATTTATATGAAGAAATGTAATTTATACATTCCAATGTTTTACTCAATTTAAATTAAAAATTATAACCATAAAATAAAACATACAAAAAAATGTAACTTACCTCCAAGTGCAGGTGTTGTTGAAGTTGCACCAAAAAGTGGTTTATTATCATTTGCTCCAAACAAACCTGTACTTGTAGTTGTAGTAGAACTAAATAAAGTTTTAGGAGATCCAAAAATTCCACCGCCAACAGCACCCTATGAAAAAATAATAAAATAAAAATAAATGAGATTTCTTATAGATTATAGTAATATGCTTTATACTTATAGTAATATTGTAGTTTTAAATATTTGTCATAAATTATATAACTAATATAGAAAATGTTAGAAAGACATAATAAATTATTCTTAATTCCATTTTACCTGTTGTCCAACTTTACGGTTAGCAGAATAATCTTCAAATCTAAGTTCCTCAAATATTTTTGTTTCATATTCTTTCATAACAGTTATTGATTGATGTCTAGTATTAATTGTTTGATTTACACCATTTCTGACCATTGTATCGGTACCAGTCACAGGATTAAATTTTATGGTTGTGCCACCAGCAGATGTTGCTCCAAATCCTGATGTAGCACCAAAGGTACCTGTAAAATATTAGTATATAATGGATAACTTCAAATACCTTAAGTCCAGCAATTGAAATTTAAATACATTTGTATATTTATTTTAAAGAATAATCAAAAATGTATACTTAAGTAAATATACATATTTTTTTTTAAGAATACATAAATAGAAGTTATTGTTGGTGTCACAATTCGCACACAAATGACATGCAGTTTTAATTAATAATCAATGAGATTATTATAGAAGGTTTTGAATAAATAATACATCTTTAACGTATTTAATTATGTCATATTTGATTGATTTACAGGCTTGAGATTGATATTATTTGAGTCTATTAAGTATTTTCGGGTCATAAATTAGGGTTGCCACTTGCCATACATACAACATACTGGTTTGTCTGGGACTCTACCAGTTTTAAATATAGTGTTCTTTTGTCTGGAAAAACTATTAAGGACCAATTTCCCAGAGTTCAATAAGTATTCATGTTAACATTTCTAATAGAAAAACCATATTTTTCTGATAAATAAGAAAATAATCAAGTTGATTACTTAATTTGACTGAATAAATCAATTTTTAAATTATTTTCCAGGCTCAGAGACAACAATTATAAACAAATAAGTTCATTGTTTTCCTGTTCCCTTACAATAATTTTTGTAATCATTTATTGCTAATACACAATTTTACTGGTTACTCATTTTTTTGATTTGTTAAGTTAAGTTAGTTTTGATCTTATAACCACGTTCCTGCTATGTGCTCAGGCAACTTTGCCTTTTAGATAAATTTAATATTTAAACCATCTTGTCATATAACTGCAGTCCCTCGGAAAACAATAACTATTCGTAATAGCCATAATAATTTTAGTGTTGACCACAGATGGCAAACTGCAGAGAATTACAATCAAGGAGTAAGATATGTGCAGTGAGAAATAAAGCAATAAAAGTATTATTTGACAATACAGCAACATCGTTTTTACCGAAAACCCTGCAAGCTAAGGGTACACGGTCACATACATGGGACCGTGGGTACCGTACACAATACTAGTGGGTTAGACTAACATGAAACGAAATAGACAGTTCTTAACATAAAGGACAAGGACAAGTGAGATAGGCCTACATAGGAGTCCTTTAACGACCCATTTTCAAATGTGATATTTCGAGCTTGTTAGAGCACCTCCACGCCAATATTATTATTAATTTAAATATTTGGACTTAGATAATAAATGAGTCAAATCGTACATTATCTGAACACTTGCAAATATTCACCAATATGAATATTATATTTCTCCTTAATAATTGTCTAAATTGTATCGTCAATCGTGGAGCATTTTAAATAAATACATATATGTATTTGCATTAAGTTAATTATCAGCAACATCTACACCTATCATGCCCTGTCTTCATCATCTGTACGCAGGCAAACACTAAATGTCATAGACAGCTGTGTGGTATTTCAGATACCAAAAAATAGGAATTTAAACAGTGCCAAAACAACAAAGGTTGGAAGTGGTAAGGTTTTCCCATAACAATTTTACAAACAAAGTTTATCCGGCTAAAGTAAAATCAAATATTTTAATAAAATTATGTTTATGGATTACCAGTAGTAGAGGCGCCAAACATTCCGGTGCCAGCAGTGCTGGGTTGAGGTGTACCGAATATATTCCCAGTTGGCTGTGCAACTGGTGTTCCAAAAGAGAATCCTGTTCCAACTGGTTTTGATTGTCCAAATGAAGTATTGGGATTACTAGAGCCAAATAATCCACCTCCAGTATTTCCCCCCATTGAAGCATTTTGCTGGCCAAATAACCCTCCAGTAGACGCCGGTGTTGCTGTAGGAGTTCCAAACAGTGAAGTTCCACCAGTATTGAAACCTAATAAAAAACTTTCATTTAATCTGATCTTTTACACAAAAATTAACTATTTATAATAACCTCCAAATGTTGGTTGAGCGGTAGGTGTCTGACCAAATGCAGGCGCAGCAGCAGTAGATCCAAATAATCCTGTATTAGGCTGTGTAGTCTGATTAAATAGTGATGTATTGGTTTGTCCAAATACCGCTGGTGCTGCGGGCTTACCAAATGCTGACTGTCCAAATCCTGACGTGTTTCCGGCACCACCGGAAAATGCACCTGACCCAGAACCTGTCGTATTTAGTAGCATAAAATATAGATTACGTTGGAAAATATTATAATAAAAACTACAGTTATTTTAACGAATAACTTAATGTATGTATAATAATAATGTAATCAAAATTTAAATAACTAGTAATAACGAAATAGTCAAACCACTCACCAAACATTCTAGAGTCTGAGAAACCTTCAATTCAAAATCGTAATTATAATGTCATATCTGAGGTATATCAATAATAAAGAAATACACTGGCTATAATATAGTAGTGTACTAGTGTAGTAATAAAACAACGTGAAACTCCGTCAAAACACTACGAATGAAAATAACTGAAATCTCAATGACGATTGACAACTTACCTAACTAATGCTACTGATAACATGAGATATGAGAGAAGTACCAACATAACTAAATTCTTTGATGTTCAAAAACAAGCAGTAACCGTTAAGGTATCCCGCGCTCATCAAGCTGCAGCCTGGCGCTGCAATGCTGCAAATATGCCGATCCCTTTAGTTACCAGAATGTCATTATCCAATTAAGATCAAAATTGTGACCATAGAGTAGGTTAGGTTAGGTTAGGTTATATTACTCCTATGACAGTCGTGACGCTCGTGTGGCCTCCATAGATTAACACCCTAGACTCTCGAGTCTCGAGTGCGTTTACAATAGGTTATGTCATTAAAACTGGTCACACTGCTGAGAGGTTTATTTGCTCTTCAATTATTTTAAAGTGTTGTTACTTGTTACTTGTTAAGAAACGGCGTCTCAGGTCTCTCGATACTAATTATAGCGTAATTACTATTGTCTATTAAAGTATTAAGTTTTTACTCAGTGGTAGCCACTCGCTCGCTACGTTGCTCGGTCAATAAATTCAAAAATATGTTAGGTAAAACTACCTTAGTGGCAACTAGCTTCCTTTGGTTACCCTTACCCCGGTTGTCTCATATGGAACACGGGAATCTAAGTGACCCAGATCCTATATGTTCATCAACCGTTAAGCCATTTATTGGATTTAGAAAAAGGGCTAAATCTGTAATATTAATCGTATAATTACATTATAACTATTACATTTATTTCATAGGCATGGATAATAAACATTTTTATCATCTATGGTTCATATAAAACATAGTATTTTATACTAAATCGTTACAAGTTTTTGTTAACCCGGCTCCCCACGAAAAACACCTAGAAATTTTTTATTTCATCAAGTTAAGAACGATGGTGCAATCAAACAATGTCGCTCAGACTTTATTTCAAACTTATATAACTTATAGCTATTTAACATTTTTAGTTTATCAGGGCAATTACGTTCGGCCGTTGCTTGGTGCGTGCAGATAGGTATAAAGTTATAGGGCAGTCAAAAGCACGATTTTATAGTTCTCTATAATCTTGTAAAAAATATATTTATATATTGATCAAAAATATGACGCCGTTCAAACTGTCACATTCTGTCGTATATGTGCCTTCGACTGTTTTTCATTCTTATAAATACATTTATAGTAAACACGCTTAAACCATGGTATTTAAGGTTAACGTATATAATTAAACCATAATATTATGATCCAAGTTAATAGCAAGAATAATTTCAAAAATGGACTTTGGTCGTTGAGTGAAACACTTTGTCTTGACTCTGGGACACTATACGCACAAATTGGGCGTCGTATAGCAACACTAAAATGCAAAATCTGCATTACAATACTACTCGACTCACGGTGCTCTTCCAAAATTTAAGTAATCAGGTATTTACAATTTACAAAAAAAAACAAATGTAAACTTATTCATTGCACAATATCTGCAGATTTATATATTTTCATTGATTACTTTAAGCTCAATGCGAAGTACAGCCTAGGTATACATTAATAATTTATATAAGTTGTTTAAAATTTTACTTCTACGGTGGTACAATAATTATTGTAACGTTTATACTTTATGGGTTCCACATGTTACCAATTTAATTAGGTTAAGTTAGTAAATATTAAATATTTTAGAGGAGTAACACATGGATTTTGAGAAATTTATGGGGGGGCTTTGTCTTGAACACCACTTCGCCTTGCTTGTTCACGTAATCCAAATAACGCAACGAATATATGCATTGAAATCCACAACTTTCAACAGCTTTTGCAGTAAAATGACTGGAGCACTCCACGTACATAATTTGATACCCTAACTCCAATGCCAACTCTCTAGAAATTAAGTTATTATTATATTAATTTTAAATCAAGTATCACAAAGAGTAGGATATATAATATGTTATATTGTTATGTACTTATGTACAATGTGTCAATGTATTATGAAGAATTGTAAATTTTTTCAAATAAAGAATTAGAAATTAATTGTTTAGTTGTTTTTGGCACTCAACACTTGTATAGTTCATTGCGGGCACATAAACAATCAAATGTTTTTTTTTGGTCTTCAGGGGATATTAACTATTAATTATTATTTATTATAAATTTATAACCAATATATGTATTACAAATTTGAATCTAAGTTTTAGTAAAACATTCCGGGGGGTTTGAAACTTTGAACCCCAAAGTCCGCCAAAGTTTATAACAGCACTAACACAATAATGGAGACTGAGACTGTTAGACGCGTGTCTGGGTTTGGTTATCTTGACAAGAGCTTACAAACATTTGAAAGCAATGACGAGTTATCGCTAAAACATAATCTAACTTTAACATTCTGACATATCAACCATTGTGATGTTGTTTATAAACTAATATTTTGTTTTTTTTTTCAAAAAAATAATTGTATTTAAGAAAAATAAAAAATTGGTTTTAAAAAGATGAGTATCTACAGATGAAAATGGGTGCTTAGTTGCTTAGTCGCATCAATAATAATGCTTATGAACAAATAATGTTTAATATACTTAGACTTGTTGATGAGGGCTTTGCAAATCCCAAGTCCTCTATATTCCTCATTAACCGTAATAATCTTTAACTCCATCATACGATCTACATTTGGGTACTGCCCAAATACATTTGTTTCTCGTCCAGCTTTGTCTAAGACAACCATAATATCATTATACTTCGAACTTTTGTTCTCGTCACCGTATTTTTTTATTTCGTCGCTCCTGCAAACAGTGCTATTCAACGCGGCACCCATCATTTCACCTGTCTCTGCAGATATTGCCATAAACGATACTCCTAAATAGAAAAACAATATTATTATTGATTATTAGGGTTCGGATTTGAAGGCAATATAATCAATAAAAAAAGCATTTAAAATGTAAAAAAAGGCAAAAAAAAGGCATTTAATTTATATCAAAAGGCAATTCATAAATATACTACAAAATAAAATAATAAACAATTTTTAAACACTTTCAAATGCACATATTTTGAGAAAAATACAAATTAAAATTGAGCATGAATACTAAACTATATTAAGTTTATGCTATTTTGTATAAATAGATTAGGTACCTTTTTTTAAAACCAGGTTTGTCCTAAGAATTAGTTAAAAACAATTTTAAATATTAACTTACTTGAGTTATACTAGTTAATTTAATGCAAAATAAACTAGTTGGTATTAAAAAAAAATTGACTACCATGTATTGTGATAAGCTGTCTTCAGAAAAATTAGGGGTTAAAATATTTTTGTACATCGAAAACGATCTTTCTGCGTCCACCGAAGTTATCGGGGGTATTTCATACTTAAATAATTATCTAAATTAAGATTGCAAATTGATAGATCGTCATCGCTTGTGGTTTCTCCAATCAATACTTGGTTGATCTTTTTGATATTTTACCATCCCTTGTTCTTCGATATAACTTTGTTGAACCTAACCAAATACTCGATAAGATGATATCGATTAATATTGCGAATAATAAAAATCATTTGTAGCGATAATACTCAAGCTGTGTATACAATTATAAAATCAACTAAAAAATTAAACACAAAATAGGCATTTATGAGTACAAAAGGTAAAAAAGGCAAAAAGGCATTTATAAGTAAAAAGGCAAAAAAAGGCAAAACAAAAAAAGATACATCGTCTAAGAAATTAAATGAAACACATTTTTGTATAAAAATTATTTTTCTATTGTGATTAATAAGAGAAAGGCATTTGCCTTCAAATCCGAACCCTATTGATTATAGATAATACTTCAATTTACAAAAGACACATAATTCTTATTATTTGGCTACCTAATTTTTGACCAAGGCAACTTTTTATCAAACTGATGAATTATATTTTAAATAAATGATTTTAACATTTTAAATGAATCCCAATTAAAAAAAATATATTATATATTAGTGAATAAAAAATATACTATAAGATTTTGACCACTGTAAATACCGCTGTATCAATATAATCGAAGCCAAATTTATAAACATGTCTAATGTCACTTTTAAATTACAACAAAAATAACTAAACCGATATTCTTCATCAAATTAGTATCTAATTGCGTACTTATATGCAACCATGGCTGTATCCATTGTGGCCTGCGTGTCCATTTTCCTCTAAAAATGAGATACCGTTTTCCTCCAAATATTAAAATATTTAGACAAAATTCTTATGAAGAAAAATTAAATATGTGCCTCAATATTGTAAACATCTATTTATTGTAAAATAAGATGTAACCTAACCAAAAAAAACTAAATACTATCGAGCAAACGAAGGGCAAGAAACAATCGACAATGCAATTATTAATTTTGAAAACGAAAAAATGTCTAAGTGATACAAAAAGTAAAATAATTATTCTTCTGGCTAATATTCCTTTTCGGGGAAAAAATACTTTTAGGTACTTATATAATTATTATTAATAATTCATAGGGCATTTTTTTTAAATGTTTTTTTACTATACCTATTTTAATTTTTAATAACTTCTATATTAGTTTTAAACATAAACATAATTTTTGTTCTTAATTCCTTATTGAAAGAAAATTGTCAGTGGAAGAAAATAGTATTTAATTTTTGAAGAGAATTGGACACGCCAAAAATAATATATTAATATCCTACAAAGTGTATATAGTAATATATATATATATTTTATATAATAACTTTCAGTTGAAAGCTAACAAAATAAAAATATGCATTAGCCATTATAGATAACGTTGGCAATTAATATCCATTAACTCACCGTATTTTATTAAATCAACACAAAAATTTTCAAATTCTGTTAATGATTCTTTTTCTTCTATTAACCCTAAGCTTGCACTCAAAGGTTCATCTCGGAAAAAATACTGTCTTAAAGAATTCTGCACAATTTCTTTATCATTATCTGTAATTGGGACTATGTTAAAAGAAACTTTTTTGATTTTATCCATATTGTTTCTCAGTATCTGAAAAAAAAAATATTATATATATATCTTATAATAACCCACTTTTAAAATTATAACTATTAGTTAAGATTAAAATATGTCTCCTCAAATTCATGATTCACACTTTTCCCACTTTCCCTTATCGATAAGTGATAAGGGTAAATCTACTTCTGTCACGGAGAAGTTCCAAATTATGAACTCTCAACAACATTTTTAATCATTTAAGGTAGATCATTTATAGAACGTTTTGTACTATTTAAAAAATGTCTATGAATTTATATTGTTCGATTAATCTGTCCTTTAAATTCGTTATAAGAAAATCGCTATATCAGAAATGAAGACCTAAATAAAGCTCATAAAAATTGAATTTGATTTGCCGGTAGAATTTTTTTTTTTTTTGTAAAGAAAAACATATATGGTATTAGTATTAAATTTTAAATCTTAGATATGAGAAAACAAATTTTTATGAATTTCTAACTCAAAATAATTTGCAAAGTTTCTTGATTTTACGAATTTTGTTAAGATTCTAAATTCAAACGCTCATAAAAAGTTATTGTGGATTTACGCTTAACTTTTTTTTTAATTTCCACCAACAACTTACGAGGAACTTATTACATTTTCAAGTTTTTTAACATAGTGAAACAATTTTTATCGACATTACTTTAAAAAAAAGAAATAATAATCGAAAATTTCATAGGCCTATAAATAATTTTGCGCAAGTAAAAATATTTTAAAAATTGTATGGTGTATAGAAAATGCGGATTTTGATATTTAGTGAGATGAGTAAGATGAGTGGAGTAGTGAACTATAATAATCTCCGGGGTAACTGCGTACTACTCCACTCAGTTTATCTAAACTTTAAATAATTATAAGTTATAAGTCATAAACTACTTGTCCTAAATTTGATTTTTATGTATCAAAAGACAGGTGGGTCACGAGAATAGGTCAAAAAATATTTAGACATAACTCTATTTTTGATCCTATTCCCGTGGCCTTACCTATGCTTAGAAAAATATTCTGCTTTGGAATATGATGTAGTTAAAACTGTATGTTGTCATTCAAAAATGTAAAAATTAAAAAAATTTAAGGATAAAAAATAAAAATAAATATATATACATATTTTAAAAATTTTGTTTTTAACAACTAGAAACCATATGTTCGCAATTTTTTGAAATATGAGTGTTGATTGATAAATGAATCATCCGGTACCTATATGATGAATAGTAATCATTCTTAATATCATGTTTAGGACGTATATTTAGTATTTACTTATGTACTTTAGAGATTATTCAATTCTAATAGATAAAATATAATTCATAAGTACAAATATCAAAATCAACTTAATAATTATTGTATCGTTTATAAATCTCAGGAATTTAGAAGTGGAATTCAATTTAAATTAAGTAAATGATTAATACGAATCTGTGTTGTTATAACATTGTTTTTAGTTAGTTATTAAAAAGCTTGTTATTCTAGAAATATGAATGTTATTATTATTTAATAGAATAATTTAATTGAATATTCATATTTTTAATTATTATTAGAATAATTAAAACTAAGCTTCAATTAATTTTGATTATTTTATGTATATAACCTCAGAATGTACTTCCAATTTTCCGGATGCTAACTTTCATAAATAATGTTCATATTTTGTGTTATAAATTCAAATTTGGAGCGTACATGTGCAATGTGCCATATAATTTGCCTTTATTTTCATTCCGTTATACTTTTACCAAATCAAACTTTTGAAGTGCTTAATGTCAATGTAATGAATATGTAATGTTCATTTCATTTAAATGAACGCTTTTGTAACGAAGTTACTTTTTAAAAATTTTTACGCGTTATTTTTTAAGTTATTAAAATAAGTTATGAATGTAAAATGAATGAGAAACCCTATAGAGAAGTTAGGGTATTCGAGAAAAATTAAAAATCAATTCAATTTATATTCGATTCTAAAAGTTTTAGATAATAATCAACAATATTATTAAAGATCGTAGATTTCAGAAAATATTGCCTCAATAAATGAATTCGAAAACCAAAAATAAAATGTAATTAAAATTAATTATGATTTACGAGTAAACCATAATGATAATTAACATTATAATTTGACATTTATAACTAATTTGACTATCCAGTAATTTTTTTTGTTTTGTTAAATACAGGAAAATTTAAGGAGAATCTTATGTACGAACTTTAAACCTTAGATATACATAGCTAGAACATTTTTTATGAATTTTTAATTTGAAATAATTTGCCAATTTTCGTGATTTTGACCAACTTTGTCAACAAAACGCTTATAAAAGAAAACTGTGGATTTATGCTGAAGTTTTTTTTTTTAATTTCCATTGACAAAAACTGATAAGGAACGTTGAATTACGTTTTTAAGATTTTTGAACAGGCAAAAAAATTTTTATCAGCCATAATTTTAAAACAACTTCGAAATTCGAAATTTGTTTATGCCCGTAAATAGTTTAAAGATAATCGCAATATTCCAAACATGTTTTGGTGCATTGAAGTTAAATTTATAGAGTTACACTAAAAAACGGGTTTTGTGTAAAAATTTCAGTTTTTCCTGAATATTTAGTGTGTTTTTCCACACGCTTTTCAAAACTATTAAGAATTTTTATTTTTGACCCCCCACCCCCTCTAATGCACCAACTAGATTGACTTTTCTATATTAAAAAAAGATTAATAAATTAATATATAGTTTAATACATGTTACGTGTTTCGTGTAAAATTTTAAGTAAAATTGAAAATTTTTTACACAAAAAGGTATAAAAAAAATACTTACTTTAACACTTTTGTCATTTAATTAATTTAAGTTCGTATCGACTCGTCACTGATGTATCGCTTCAACGAGCAATTGTTAAATGACATAATATAATACATTGTACGAGTAGTTACACACTAAAAGTTAAAGTAGGTACTTATTGGTTATCGAACTCTCGCAGACAGTGCATAGGCCCAGGATTTCTTTATACCGTCATCGTATTAGGTACAATTATCTGCTTAATATGTATTTTGATATATACTGGTGAATCATAATTTTAGACCTAGAGTGGAGCAACTTCTCAAAATATTTATAGTTTATCGTTTATGTTCATCGCATCATTCGCATCTGCTTCTTAGAAAGAAACTAAACTTTTATAAATGGTTTGGTATTAATTTTAATATAGACAGGTGAATCTAAATGGTTCTAATTTTAAGAATAGTTGTACATTTTTTTGATTAGTTCTTTTATTGGTTCTTCTTTAAATGTATCATACTTTTACCGCATAATAATGATAAATTCATAGATAATAATAAAAGAATGAATAGGCCATGGTTAGGTTAGGTCTGTGTACCATAAATTATTCCAGCACCCCCTAAATTCACACCCTATGTGGCATATGTCTCCACAAATTCATGATTCATACTTTTCCCACTTTAGTTAGGTTAGTTTAGTTAAGTGACTCTCTAAGTGAATAATACCAAATAATGAACACTCAATAACATTTTTAATCGTAGAACGTTTGTTCTATATAAAAATAATTGAACGACTATTTAGAGCTTAATTTTAATGCACCAGCTATATAAAATACCGTGTGTATTTTAAAGTAGTACACTCATTATTCTAAAAGTATTGATTTTTTTGAAAATATTATTTTTACATATAGTTTCAAGTAGTTACAAAACAACGTTTGTATTAATATATTATTAAACATTTTTTATCCTCATATTTTTTAAAAAAATTTAACTTTTTTACATTACGAAAAATTACACAATCTTATTCTATCTTCGAAACCAGAAAATTTTTCTTAGTATTTCGATCCATAAAAATTGAACTTAGGTCAAATAGTTTATGAGTTATATACGAATAAGTAAGATGAGTATGGGTGGCGGGTATAGGTCAATATATATATATATATTATAATGATATAACTGTCATGATCCACCATGCACTTAGAAATATATACTGCTTCAGAATATTATGTAGTTACAACTGTATGTTGTCATTCAAAAATTTAAAACTTGAAAATTGTTAAGGATAAAAAATATAAAAAATTATATACCCATACATATTTTAAAATGTTCTTTTTAACGACTAGAAACCATTTTGTGAATTTTTTAAATTCCTGTTTTTCCTTAATTTTTTGTTTGTTTAGAAAACTATTGTGAATTTTTTACTTTCTGCCCCCCAGAGTACCAAATAGATTCACTTTCCTACCACTTAAGATACTGTTGAAAATTTTTACTGCCACAAAAAGTGATGACAGACATATAAAAAACAAACACATAATTTAAAATCAATACATTCATCCAATCAGAATCTAAAATACAAATTATTAAAAAATGTTTAAAAATTAGTATATAATAGAATCCATATATAACATGTTTTGTATAAACTTTGAAGTAAAAATAATACTTACGTTAACAGTATTGTCATTAAATTAACTATATAATTCGTATCAACTCGTTACCGATGTGTATTGTTTCAACGAGCAATAGTTAAATGATAGGTACATAATTATACATTGTCGTTGATAAAATTTAAAGTATAACAGGTACTTATATCGTTATCGTACTCCTGCCGACAGTGGGTAAGCCCAGCAGCCTGCCCGTGATATCTCTATATACCGTCATCGTATTAGGTACTGTTATCTATTTAGTATTTATTTTGATATATGCAAGCGAATTAAAATTTTAGACTTAGTGGAACCAACCTCTCAAAATATTTAACGTTGATCGTTTATGTTATTTGCCTCTGCTTCTTTAATAGACATTTATTTTAATTAGTCCTTTGATTGGGTGTTGTGAAATTATGATAAATTCATGGGTAATATAAGAATGGGTAGGCCAAGTTAATGCATTTAACGTGGTGGGTATTGCGATATCTACGTATTAGGCGGTCTCCCACTCCCAAGGTCGATTGTTCTATGTTATGTTATATGTCATATACTCATATGTGTTTATGCTTTTTTTAATCTAGAATATTAAATTTGTACAACTAATGACTGAGGGACACTGCCTAACATAAAAAAAATATAAATAAGTGATCACAAAATTGTATTGTTCTCCAATAATCATTATTTATTAATCATATTGTCATCAGTCATCACTATCATCACGAAACGAGAAAAATAATTTAAGATAGATTTCGTCGTTGCATATGCACTGAGCCAGGAGAGAACTCGACCGTTTTGCACATAAAATACTCTATGTTGAGTATCCGTGCGCATGCTGACCATTGAGTAATTTATATATATATATATATTTATCTTTGGAGTAATATTATTCTATGATGCAAAATGACCCTAACCACCGGTCATAGATCCCATTTCCATGTTGACGGTTTTCAAACCATGTCGGTGTACATATGTATACAATCTAATCTAAGTCACAATATGCAGCAAATTACCAGTGTTGTAAAGTATTTGAGTAATAGTATTCAAATACTTTTTTCCGTATTGAATACTTTTTTAAATACTTTTTATTTTGAAGTATTTGAATGGTATTTTAAATACTTTTTTTACTGTTAAATACTATTTTATTGAATACTTTTTTTGTTATTTTAATTCTCAATTTGTTTTCATGTATAGGTAATTCTTGTTAAATTAAAATAACTTGCTATCGTGGTCATGATGTAAACAAAAAGGTATGATCGTAACTTTTAGACGGTCAGAACCTTCGGTAAGCACGTGAAGTAGCGTAATGTATTGTAGTAATAACTAATAATAGAATGACAATATGATAATACGGATAAGTAAGTGACGTATGCGCGGGCTTGAACCAAATATGGAATTTTATGATCATACCATGTTGCTTACATAATAATTATGGTTATGTCCCAACGTAACATATTTATCAATTTATCATTTATGCATAATTTGATATCGGTTTTCGTCGATCAAATATTTTTTTTTCTCCGGGAAATAGTTTATTGTCCAATATAAAGGCTATGATTTGATTTATATCTACTTACCATTTCGGAATGCGAAAATATTATTACTAATAATTAGTACTAGGTACCTATTTACCAAGAAAATAGTTATCAATTATCATTATCGTTTATCGTCGACGAAGATCGACGACGGCATGAGATATTCAAATACATTATATTGCTTTAAAAATATAAAACTATATGTAAGGAAAAGTTCATTGTTGTGGTGATAAGGCGCAACTATCAAAAAAAAAAAAGAACTAACATGAGTACATGACTGATCAGTGATCAGTTTATTTGATTATTGAACGAATCATGTTTATAAAATGCAATAAACAAATTTTTTACTATAACAAATTATTTCAGAACTGAAGAGATTTTTTTTTGTATTTGAATATTATTTCAAATACTTCTGAAAAATATTTGAGTAATTACTTAAATACTTTTTAAAAGTATTTTTTTACAACACTGCAAATTACATTATGTCATTGTGATCAAAGTTATGACATTTTTTAGCATGTTTCCAAGTTCCAAATTATTGATTTTTGAGTAGGTAGCTTTAAATATACACTAGTTAACCATAGTTGCCATAGTAAAAGATATTAAGAATTTATTATGTCAGCTTTTAACTAAAAAAAATACAAATTTTAATGACATTAAAACTGAAGGTTATAGAGATTTTTATGAAAGCGAAATTTTTGTTTTCTTCTCATGAAATGTTTGAAAAATGGACTTACAGGTCGATATGCGATACACTTTGTCTTGATACTAGGACACTATACATACGAGGTTTGGCAATTAAATAACGAGAATTTGTTTCTAGCTTCTATAGTGGTAACAGTGATACCTTTAAAATTTGTTGACTTAAAGTTCACGAGGTAATACACAAGTCTGCTAAGTTTGATAGTGATCGGTGTTATATTTTGTGCTCTCCGATTTTTTAAAGTTAGTAGTGTAGTGTCGTGACGTACAAAAATGTGTGACGTGAAAAACGAGCAACGAATCGTCATCAAGTTTCGGGTGAAATCTGGTGAAAAAAACGGCCGAAATTTTTCGTAAATTGCCGCGTGTGTTCGGTAGTGACTGGCGACTGCTTATCAAAACCACGTGTGTACGAATGGGCATCACATTTCGCATCAGGCTGAGAATCGACGCAAGAAGATGCAAGGTCAGGTGCCCCTAAAATCGTGCACACTTGGTAAAATGTCGAACGTTTAAGTGTGTTGGTGCGAACAGATCGACGCCTCACAGTCCGAATTGAAGTTCTTAAGCGATTGTGTCATAGAATGTCTCGTGTGAGGTCGGAATTAGCCAAAAATGGTTGGGTCCTTCACCATGAGAATGCGCCTGCTCACACATCATTAAAAGTTCAACAGTTTTTGACCAGTAGGAACATAACAAAGCTCCCCCACCCCCCGTACAGCCCTGATCTGGCTCCACTGGACTTCTGGCTATTTCCAAAGTTAAAGGAACCAATGAAAGGACATCGCTATGAGGATTTGGAGGATATTCAACGTGCCGTAACAACGGTGTTGAAGAGTTTAACTTCTGGAGACTTCCAGGAGTGCTTCCAGAAATGGGAAGAACGCTGGACCAAGTGTGTTCGACTCGGAGGAGAGTACTGTAAAGGCATGGGTCCATAAATCATTGTAAATATTAAATAAATGTTATAAAATTTAAAATTCTCGTTATTTAATTGCCACACCTCGTATGTACGAAAATTGGGCTTCATACAGCAACCCTATGATGAAACATTTGATTTGGAATTATACTACTTTTCTAACGGTGCTCGTCCAACCTTTTAAAAATTAAAAATCGCAGGTAGGTATTTACAAAAAAAAAAAAACTAATGCCAACTTTTTCCTCGTATAGTATCTGTATATTATTTATATTTTTTATTGATAACCTACTATAGACAAATAGCAAAGTACTGCCAAGGTATATTAATAATTTATATAGGTAGTTTAAAATTTTACTTTTGGTGGTACAATAATAATTGTAACTTTATACATTATGGATTCCACATGTTACCAATTTAATTAGGTTAAGTTAGTAAATATTAAATATTTTAGAGGAGTAACACATGGATTTTGAGAAATGTATGAGGGGGCTGTGTCTTGAACACCACTTCGCCTTGCTTGTTCACGTAATCCGAATAACACAACGAATATATGCATTGAAATCCACAACTTTCAACAGCTTTTGCAGTAAAATGACTGGCGCACTGAACGTACATCATTTGATACCCTAACTCCAATGCCAACTCTCTAGAAATTAAGTTATTATTATATTAATGTAAATCAAGCATCACAAATAGAAGGTGTATAATATGTTACCTATGTGAATTATATTATGAAGAATTGTATATTTTTTTAAATAAAGAATTAGAAATGAATTGTTTAGTTGTTTTTGGCACTTTTTACACTTTTATAGTTTATTGCGGTCACATAAACAATCAAATGATTCTAGCAACTAAGATTTTGGGATAGGTCAGGCCTGTGGAGCAAAATGTGCTGAGGTGACAAAAATCAAATAGATATAAGACGGCCGCACGGGCAGGAAGAGGGAGAGTCGGGTCGTCGCGGAGTGTCGCTCCGAGAGGACGCCGGTACGACGACCGTCCGTGTGACGGTTACTGTACGGACAATTCATTTATGTTTTAATTGTTTTTTTAAAAAGAATAAAAGTGTTTCCGACCCGAGAAATCATTTGTTTTGTTTGAGTAGCCACGCAATTTGCCGTACTCCTTAAAATCTAATCTGTAACCGGTTAATTCATGGTCGTTGAGGATTTAAGGTTTAAACGGTAAAGGTAATCTTACATTATTGTATTCTTTCAATCCAATCTGTAACCGGTTAATTTATGGTCGTTGAGGATTGAAAGTCTAAGCATTAAAGTAACGATATCGACTTTTTGAGTGCCAAACTGTAACCGGTTAATTTATGGTCTTTTGGTTCCTCAAACGTTGGTAGAGGTACACCACCGAAAAGTGGATATACGACAACCAATATATAAATTACAAATTAGAATTTACGATAGCAATATGCATAAATGAAAAGTGTTTTCATATTTACCATTTTGGGGGCTTTAAAACTTTCTACCCTCAAAAATAGTTAAGATATAATGGCATTAACAAGATAATGGAGACTGAGACTGTTAGAAGGCACAAATACGTAAACTGCGACCAAATGATCTTTTTTTGTAAACTGCGATCGATTTTTCTCATCCATGTTTAAAAGGTAGAACTTAATCTGTGCTCAGCTTATAAAATATACAAAAATAAATTGTAAATGTTAATTATGTATTTAACTATTTTAACTTATTAACGTTTCTATAATTGTGTACTTTTTCAATTGTATGTTACAGAAATTTTATTTTTGTCCCAAACCATATTACCTATTTGTTAAAATCGTGAGGTATCGAATAACTATTGCATTAATACGAAAAATGATGGTTATCCTATATAGGTCTGTTAGTAATTATCGTATTCACTTAAATCAGTTAATTTATGATATCTAAACAATTCGTGAAGCAGCACAAAAAGTGCTTCAGATATCAACATAAAATATTACACTGAATGGTACAAATGAATCGTTTGAATATCAACACTTTAAAACCAAATAAAAGTTAAGAAATTTAATTTATAAATATAATAGTTATCAAACTCCAATTGATGAATATGTAATATATTGTATAGTATCAACAATATGTTATTATTTGTGATAATATTGTACTTTTAAAATTTTTGTTTTTTTATTTTGAATTGTATTCTATTAATTTTTCATATTATATGATTTAACAAATTAAGTATAAATTGAAGATTGTAATTTTAGATTAAAAATTTGGAAATTTTGTTTAATTTTGCAAAAATACAGGTATTCATTTTTAAGATTTCACTCGGGTGCAGTTAACATGGGCGATTGTAAATTCCACCCATTTACAGGTAGTCGATTTTAGGATTGGATTTAGTTCGGCCGTAGCGTTCATCATGAATACACGTACGCTGCATCGTATATCGTATACACTCCGTTATCGCCGCGCGCGCTCATTAGTAACCTATTTCGGTCATTATTAACAATCAGTCCCAATAGTATATAATATTACAATAACAATAGTTATGAAGAACAACGAACAAATAGCCGGTTCCGCTTTACCACGTACACCAAAAACCATAAAACGAAATCTTTCAACCTCGTCAACTTCGCCAAGCCAAAACGACAAAAAATCAAAAATCTATGTTTCACCAAATCGTTATGCCCTACTCCCCACTGATGACACTGACGACATAGCATCTACTATGCCATTAACCAACCTCAAAGATGATTCTGCGAACCAGCCTCACACTGAACGAGACATGGGGCCCCCAGCTCCACCTATCTATATCAAGAATATTGCCAACTACTCCGCTTTCAATAAGCTCCTAATAAACATCACCAACTCAAATGGCTTTACCTGTAGGTCAACGCCGTCACACCTCATCGTGCAACCAACAAGTCGCATAAACTTTAATAAAATCATAGACCACCTACACGAAACTAATGCTAAACCTTCGCACATACAGGGTCGTTATCAGAAACCTGCACTTTTCTACCTTAAGTAATGACATTGTCGGTGCTTTGACTGAATTGGGACACTCAGCCAAACACATATACAACGTCAAAAATAAAAACAAATGTCCCCTACTATTATTCTTTGTGGATATTTTAAATCAAGGCAATAATAAAGACATCCTAGACATCAAGTTCCTACTCAATACTAAGGTACTGATTGAGAAACCACACAAAATGAGACGTGGCCCACCACAATGTCACAACTGTCAATCCTATGGACACACGTGAAATAACTGCTGCCACGAACCAAAATGCGTTAAATGTGGTGAAAACCACCTTACAATAGCATGCCCTAAAGACCGACATAGTACCGCCAAATGTGCGCTTTGCACTAAGGAACATACTGCCAACTTCAAAGGATGCCAAGTCTACAAAGCTGCCTTCAAAAAAACCGTCCATCCAGTCAATATTCCTGATTCCAACAACACCAACACTAACAACTATCAAAAAACCAAATCCTACTCTGAAGCCACCAAAACTCATCAAAACCTACACTCGGAACTCAAAACCACCGACGCTCTCTCAAGTTTAATATCAAATTTAAACTCACTAATTAGCCCCCTTATCTCCCTTCTTTCATCAGTCCTAAATGCACTCACAGCTAATAGCACTTCATAATCTTATCGTCCAGACAATCCATACTAAAATTAATTAACTTATATAATATCTTATCTCATTTCCTTTTCCCATTATATTATTTAAAAATATCTATACATAATCAATTACCATTCGACTCAACTAACACAACATAATATTTTGTAAAATTATATAATGTTTATACTTGTAATAGCATCTTGTATGCTGAGACATTTTAATATATTAAATAAAAAAAAAAAAAGGGTTGGATTTATAACATGTAAATTTTTTTTTACCTTACACAAAATGTTAATTCCACTGGTACGTATTTTTGACCTGAAAACACGTAAACTCCACCGATGGTAAAATCCACAGATTACTATTATTTTTAGTACAGCTACTCATCAACTTTCGACAGTCTTATCTAAACGACATCTTAACGACCGCAGACATTATCAGATATACTCATATCGCGAAGCGAATGCATTCGATAAAATATTTTCGAAGGCACATTTTAGTTCTTGATTTCGTCCGTTGATTTTAAAATGATTACATCAACCGAAATAATCAGTGAACGTATGGCCAAGTTTTGCTTTGCTTAAATAGTTTTACGTTTTATGAACAAATATTCTTTAAGTGTGGTGAAGAAAAGTGCGTTGGGAAAACAAAAATTGAACCGCGGTTTTAAAAACGATTAATTCTGGAAAAAAACGAATAACTTTCCATTGACTACATACTCTGTACTCACAAAACATTAACCTAAAATACACTACAACGGCAACTGGCAAGTATTAAATACTGGCGCAAAATGAAGGGCGATAGAGGGCAATTGTAAAACACCAAAAAAAATAATCAAACTTGCATTGGATGAAAATTCATTGGATGGTTGTAAATGATGTAATTGTCAAATACAGGTTAGAGATGTGAACTATACTAAGAGAAATGTATAAAGTGCTAGGAGAAAGACAATACCAAAAATACCTAAAAGTTCATTTGACTTTGACGTTCATAATTTTTTTTAATGAAACTCAACGTGTGACGAGTAGAAATGAAAATTTTCTTCACAATATAAATTAGTAAAGAAAATGGTATTATTATATTCTGTTCGAAAATCAACTTTGAGGCTATGTGTAAAACAGAAATTGTTTACATGGATTGAACATTTACGTATTGCGTGAAGAATGTTTTACAGCTATTCACCATACATGGATACTTAAATGGCCATTAAGTTCCTTTGTGTTTTTGCGTATTTAAAGATAAACACAAGTCCACTTATTGTACATTTCACATTACACAAAGTTTGTGGAGAGCCATCCAAAGATATGGTTTGACGGAAGACTATAAAACAATAACTGAAGTAGGTGATTGGCTTAGAATTTGTTTTGAATTAGTTTTTTAGACTCCGAAGATGTTTCTATTTTTTTTCCAATAGAATTAATGTCTATAAAGCCCGAAAACTCAAAACTTACTCAATTTGCAGATTATAAATAGACATCTACGTTACAGAAGAAGCATTCATTCCACCATTGAATTTAACAACGAATACATGCGAGTCGTTTCACTCACATTTAGCTCAATCCTTTGAGAACACACATCCAAATATTCATCACTTTACAAAAGCTTTATTAGATATGCAATCATTCACTTACATTAAATTAAACAGCATTAACGAACCTAATAACCTAAGAAATTCGCAATCAAAAACACCCCAAAAATATTTAAACACCATAATTTTGTCATTCAAGGAAAACAATATTACCATCATGCAATTCGTCTAAGCTGCATCGAAACTGCATTATCAATCCAAATTTTAAATTTTCTTTGTGTAATTATTTTTTACTAAAAACTTTAAATTTTTTAAATTAAATATTAACTAGGTATTGACACTATTGTATTTAGATAGTTACATATTTTTCCATTATTTTTTATTATTTATTATATCTTAACTAACTATAATGATCATTCTTGAATATTATATGATTTTTTATAAATTGTACAATAAATGTTTTATAATAAATCTGTATCCTCATAAATGATGTAATCTTACTTACAATGGAATTTACATATTTTTACAGGTAAAAACGTACCGGTGGAATTTACATTTTTTTTCAGATTAAATAAACATAGTAGTGGAATTTACTTGAGCCCGTTAACCTGTCACCTTTTTACACTCTACAATAAAAATGCTCAGTTTACATACTTGATTTTGTGTTGACCTGTACATTGGGCGCAGTATACAAAAGTCGGTCTGAGCATGTCCGGCTTTGCTTATTTCAACAAGAACTATTGATTTTTACTTCTACTGATAACTTAATTGTCAAACAATTTGAAAGCAATGACGAGTTACCGACTAAACATATTTTAACTTGAACGTTCCGAGATATAAACATTATATATACCATCATGGTGATTATAAACTAATATTTAAAAAAAAAAATAATTGTGTTGACAAATATAAAAAATTGCCTACAATTAGAGGAGTCCATAGACGAAAAATGGGTACTAATAAATCAAAAATAATATTTTTGATGTCTAGAATCAAACATGGTTCAATAGTCCTGCAATTATTATTATATTATTATGAACAAATTATGTTTTATATACTTAGACTTGTTGATGAGCGCTTTGCAAATTCCAAGTCCTCTATATTCTTCATTAACTGTAATAATCTTTAAGTCCATCATACGATCTACATTTGGATACTTCCCAAATACATCAGTTTCTCGTTCAGCTTTGTCCAAGAGAATCAAGATATCGTTTAGCTTCGAACTTTTGTTCTCGTCACCGTATTGTTTTATTCCATCACTTCTGCAAACTGTCATATTCAACGAGGCTCCCATCATTTCACCTGTCTCTGCAGATATTGCCATAAACGATACTCCTAAATAGAAAAACAATCTTATTATTGCTTATGAATGATACTTCAATTTTCAATAGACACAAAATGCTTATTATTTGGCTACCTATTTTTTGACTAAAGCATTTTTATACCTAACTGTTGATTTATATTTTAAACTAGTGTCAATAATAATTATATCATGTAGGCATATTAGTGAATTAAAAAATATCATAAGATGGCGACCACTGTATTAATAATATATTATCTTAACTAAAATCGATATTCTTCGTTAAAATAATATTTGATTGAGTTCAAATTGTTACTTAAATTGTGTACAAAAAAATCTGTGTTTTAAATTTTGGTTGCAAAGTATTTATTCTGTTATCATTTTTTTAGCTTGCAGTTCAGTCGGGTTGTATAGATGACTCAAAAAAATCCATCGATCTTTACGAGAATTACTAATAAGTAACTATTGTAACCCGAAATAGACGGAGGAACATAGTTCAGTGTTTGGCACACAACTTTTATGAAACTTTCATTATAATTATTTGATTAAGTATTTTAAATTATTTTCATCTCCCAACAACGAAAGACATAAACATATTATGATAGTATATTGTAGGAATAAGTGTATAACAGTATACACTATACAGTATACAAATAAAAATGACTATGGCCATTGCGGGTGCGTCCGTTTTCCTCCAAACATTTTTTTGGACTAAAATTATGTCCATTTTCCTCCAAAAATTAAAAATATATTTATCCGATATTATTATTAAGAAAAACCAAATATGTGGCTAAGTATTGTTAAACAAATTGAAAAACCTATTTATTGTAAAATAAGCAGTAACCTAATCAAGCAAAATCTAAAGACTATCAAGCAAACAAACGGCGAGAAGCAATCAACACTGCAATTGTTAAAATTGAAAACTAAGAAATTTTTTTTTTTAAATTAAGAAAATAATTGTTCATCTGACTGATATTCCTTTTCCTTAAACAGGTAATAATGTGTTGCTGAAATGTTGTGAGATTATTTTTAAAACAATTATTGGTAGGTGGATAATTGTAATTTAAATTTCATATAGGTCATTTTGTTTTTAGTGTTTATTATATCTATTTAAATAACTATTATATTACATATAAACATTGTTTTTATTCCTAATTCCTTATTGAAGGAAAATGGACCCACCCGCAATAATATCGAACAAAGTGGACTTATATATGTATATATTTTATTTAATAACCTTCGGTTGAAAGCTAACAAAATAAAAATAATAAAAATAAATAGATGTCTTAGCCATTAGGTAATGTTACCAATTAATATCCATGAACTCACCGTGTTTTATGATACCAGCGCAAGCTTTTTCAAATCGTATTATTGATTCTTCTTCTTCTAAAAACCCTACACTTGCACTTAAAGGTTCATCACGCAAATAATATTTTTTTAAAGAATTCTGCACAATTTGTTTATCATTATCTGTAATTGGAACTATGTCAAAAGATATATTACTTTTTTTGACGTCATCCATATTATTTTTCAATATCTGAAAAACAAATATAATGTATAAAATGTATACCTCTGAACAATTTTTAAAATTAGAACTATTAATTAAGATTAAGATATGTGGCAATGTCTCCACCAATTCATGATTCATAGGATAATTCTTTATGGATAAGTGACTCTCTAAGTAAATAACTCCAAATAATGAACACTCAACAACATTTTTAATCATAAAACGTTTTGTGCCATTTAAAAAAAATTGAACGACTGTTTAGTGCTTAATTTAAAAATTTCAATGCACCAGCTATATAAAATACCGTGTGATTTTTAATGTAGTGCACTCATTATTCAAAAAGTATTAATTTTTTTGAAAATATTTTTTTTACATATAGTTTCAAGTAGTTACAAAACAACGTTTGTATTAATATATTATTAAACATTTTTTATCCTTATATTTTTTAAAAATGTTTAACTTTTTTAAATTACGAACAATTACACAATCTTATTCTATCTTCGAAACCAGAATATTTTTCTTAGTATTTCGATACAAAAAAAATTGATTTTAGGTCGAATAGTTTATGATTTATATAAGAATAAGTAAGATGAGTGGCGTAGAGGACTAACAATTTCTGGGTTCACTGCGCATAAGAATTGCATGTATCTCTTCATGTATTTTTCTTAGAGTTACACAAAAGTTCAAATTGGTTTTGTTAAGAACCAATTTCGTGAAAATTCCTGTTTTTCCTTAATTTTTAGTTTGTTTAGAAAACTATTGTGAATTTTTTACTTTCTGCCCCCCAATGTTCCAACTAGATTCACTTTCCTACCAGAAAAAAATGTTGAAGATTTGTACTGCCCCAAAAACTGATTACAGACATATAAAAAACAAACACATAATTTAAAATCAATACATTCATCCAATCAGAATCTAAAATACAAATTATTAAAAAATATTTAAAAATGAGTGTATAAATGTATAATAGAATACATGTAACATGTTTTGTATAAACTTTGAAGTAAAACGAATACTTACGTTAACACTATTGTCATTAAATTAATTATATAATTCGTATCAACTCGTTACCGATGTATATTGCTTCAACGAGCAATAGTTAAATGAATAGGTACATAATACATTGTCACTGCTAAAATTTAAAGTAGGTACTTATATCGGTTATCGTACTCCTGCCGACAGTGGGTAAGCCTAGCAGCCTGCCCGTGATATCTCTATATACAATATACCGTCATCGTATTAGGTACTGACGTACTGTTATCTGTTTGGTATTTATTTTGATATATTTTAAACAATTTTAGATCTGGAGTGGAACCAACCTTTCAAAATATTTAACGTTTATTGCTGATGTTAATCGCCTCTGCTTCTTTCGTTGAAAGACATTTATTTTTATTAGTCCTTTATTGCGTGCTGTAAAAGTTTGATAAATTCATAGGTAATATAAGAATGAATAGGCCAAGTTAATGCATGTAACTTGGTGGGTATAGCGATCTTTTACATTTATGTTATATGTGTTTATGTGTATTGACGTATTGTAATCTAAAATATTTGTACAGTTCATGGCCGAGGGATAAGGTTGCCTAACATAAAAAAATATAAATATTAGGTAGCTAATGTAATACACTATAAATAGTAATTATAGTAAAATAAGTAAGAAGTATGATCAACACGGTATACGCGTTTTCATCCCAGTTCGCGTATGTGCATCGCTTGCTTTTTGTGTAATCGGTTTCCCGTGGATAGCAAGGGTGACGTATGATGTCACTTGACTTTTTATTTATTGCCAGTAGTGCCCCCTTCCAAATCATGCACATTATTATTTGTCGATCATACTTCTCATTTTACTGTGCGTCTATACCAGCATGCGATAGTAATAATTTTCGGGCAAAGCGGGAAAAAAAATATGGGTTTATACATTTTTAGGTTGACGTTCGTGCAGGCCCTGAGTATATCATGTCAGTACCTATCACGTAGATTTCATTATTATGTAACGGGCCCGGGATTAATCACTTTAAGTAATACATATGTATCTATATGCTTTAAATATAAGGAAATTCAATTATTTAAGTATCAGCTAAATTAATTGAAAAGCCAATAGTTTAAAAGTTAACTTAATGTTTTAATAAATTATAATTTATAATGATGTATTTATAAATGCACTAAAAAACAAATTATTCAAAGGTAAATGATTCGCCGTCAACGCATGCCATATTTTAACTTTAAAGAAATATAATGATAATTAAAAACGGTGAATCAAATCATAATTCTAATTTAAAATCTAAAATCATTCGAAAACACTTAACTATAATATTATATTTTAGCCCCTATTGAGTTTAATCACACTGCTGAATTTCCTAATTTGGTTTACATTTAGCGTTTAAATGATCAGAACTGTTTTTCAAACATAAATAAGAACAAAACCAAATACTGTGTTGAATCTAATAACAATATCTAAAAACTATTAAAATAATGGTAGGTACTTACTATATTGTCTTCATGTTGACATACCGTAGAATTTCTGAATAGGTTCAAGGAATGACATAGCTGGTTATATTACTGTCACCTATTAATGGCTATATTATATTACACTATAATAATATAATATTATATTGTGGTAATTGCCGATTGTATGTATCAATATTGCATATACCAAACTCCGTGTTACATTCAAAGTTATTAGGTGCAAACATGCTAAATCTAAAATATGTCCAGAACCAAAATTCGAACGAGTGGTTTTTGAGTTACTTAACTTTTTGTATATATTCTAAGGATAATAGAGTCAATGATAATGGGATTGGCTGATAGGAGGGTTATGGTGATTTTAAAATTGTAGTAATTGATTTATCAAGTATCAACTTAAATAATTTGTAAAAATGGTCCAAGCTTCATAAAATATAGTAGTTCTAATATTGCACCTACATTCTACTTTTTAATTTAGTAAAACCATTTTTAAGGAATCTTATCATGTAAACATTTTAAATTTGAATTAATACGTACAATTAAAATTAATAAAAATACTGAATAAATATTTTACAGTAAGAAATAGGGTTTTCATTTGATGAACAGAAGTTTGTAATTTTTGTCACTACAGGATACTCCTTTAGTGGTGCGAACTACGAAATCTCAATAGTTTGTAAATATCATATATTCATATTGAATAGTAAGTAGGTAACTCCAAAAAACAAGTTTTGAATAACTGCATTATTGAAGAAGAAAAATGGGGTACGTAAACATCATACATGCTTGGTGAATGACCGTCTAAGCACTCTAAGCTATTAAATTCTTTTGTTTGTTTTCGTAGTAGCATTTCTGAGTAAAGATCCTTCGTATTGTTTAACTTAATAATACTATACAACCTGTATCCAGCAAGGGTACAATAGGAATATTGGCCAATTGACTATACAACAGTGAAAAAAAATACTTGCTATAAGAAGAAAGAAGTGACAGTAGTGACACATCCAAGTAAAAAGAGTCGAAATAAAATAGTTCAATACCTATGCGCAAACTATTAACTATACCTAATATAATGTATATCTGGGGTTATATACGTTCGTATTCATGCAAGTATATCATCGGTATGCAGATTGTAATGTGACAAAAAAATAAAACACATACGTATTATCAATTAATAGATGAACACATAAACATCCTGCATACAACGTGTTTGTGTGTAATGCACTCCAAAACTACTGAACTGATTTTAATAAGATTATGCTCAATGTGTGCGATTTGGTCCAACATAAAATATAGGATAGTTGTTATTTCGATAAGTAGGACTTAATTTTTTTTTTGAACATTCACGAAAGGATTTTGAGATTTAAGATTTAAGGTTGCTAACAGCTCACAAATAATATTGGGTATAATATGGACATAGGAAAAATAAGTATAAATTATATTGCTATTGGTTACTCTGGCAGATCAGGTTGATGAAAATTTTCAAGTTTTAAACACCATTACACAGAGAATAAAATAACTACTGTTAGCCAACTGTTTAGAGCTCTTATAAAATACATTTTCAGCAAAAGGCTTTTATTAAAAAACCTTAAGGGAATGAAAATTAACTTTAGTTCATAAATAAACACATTGAGTACCTAGGTTTGAAGCAATTTGTATACACTGTGTTAACCAAAATCTGTTATTTACAAGTGGTGGGGTATTTAGGGGAGGGGAAAAGGATAAGGGAACTTGGTCGTGTTATGGTAGAAATCTTATATGGTAAAAGATAAAGTAGAGACCAGCAGTGTTTCTGAAACGGTTTTAAAGAAACATTTTGAGTACCTATTATCAATAATTTATAGAAGTTATTACAGTTATGGGATATAGACATATTTTAATAACGACCAAGTACAAGGTGACGGACATCAATTTCTGATTTACTTTGTTTAGCCCCCCCCACAAAATTATTGGCTACGACGCCTCTGCTAATCAGTACAAAAGTTTATTTTATAGTTGTTACAACGTATGAAATTTTTCTTGAAAACTGAATCTTACTCGGTTGGGTACAGGTTTACACGCAGACACCCCGCTAATGTTCACAACTTCGCAAAAAGCCAAATGCGTTTAATTTTAAACGAATGTTTGCATTAATGTACATATAGCTTTAGGAAATCCTCAGGTCTCCACCAACAACTGGTTCCCAACGCTTAATATATTCTCAATTAATTTTTATTTACCCTTTCCGTGCACCTGACTAATAATTGTTATTTGTATTTTAATCAACGATACACTACTATACTCTATTCAAGTAATGAAGCGTAGTCGGCAGTGATCAGTCTTCGTCAGTTCGCAGTCAGGTAACACCCAATTGTGAAAAACATCCAGTAAATTATCTGTACAACTGCCATTAATAATGTTCACAACGCATCTGCGCACAAGTCGGCCGCCGACGTTTCTCGGCCTGAATAGATTACAATTCGTATTTCCTTTGCTTAAGAGGACGCTATACACCTATTTTATATTTTATATACAGTAATAGAACGCGTTCACGCTCTATGTGTACAGATTCCTTTGTATCAATCGTACATACAAAATTGTTAATGATTATGAAAGAAGGAAATATTTACTGGGTACGAGCTTTGAGTTTTTGTCATCAAAATGTTTTTTTTTTTTATGTCTAAATTTGCAAAATGTTCGGTTTTTAGTTATTAGACGTTGCAGCTGATGGATAAGCCGATGTCCAATCAAACTATCTAACACTTGAATATGGATAATTTCTTATCAGCTAGGTAATTAAATTAAATTTATCATGATTATAGGTACCCATGCAATATTTTGTGAACAAATGATATTTGGTTAATATCACAATTCATAATAATATGCAACCTAATTTTTGGGGAAAAAAATTAATATTTATACACGCCATTGTAGCTTATAAATACAAAGGTAATGATAGGAATTCTTTTAATCGTAAATCGTAATATAATTAATGTTCTCATAGACACGCCATGCAGAATTCATCAGATAAACACTACGTAAATATGTATACATTAATTATCTACAAATTGTGGTGCGATATGACGTAATATGGTGTGTTCTATTCTTAATTCTCATTCACATAAATACACAAATATCAAAATCACAACAATTAAAATGTTTTTTTAAATACTTGCCTAATTTATATTTGATTATTCTTTATGCTTCAATAAGATTTTTAGAAAAGATTAAGTAGGCATTTTTATTTCCCAATGACTAGATATTACTCAAACCATTATTACTGTTTGCATTCATGAATGTTATTTAATAAAAAATTAAAAGAAAACTAAATACTTTTGGTAGGTTTTTGTTTTTATTTTTCTCTGTAAAATAACTACAAATCTTACAAGTTGTATATTGACTTTAACCATTGATTTAAAAATAGACAATTATTTAAAGTTCATTATAAAATCAATGCTATAACATATTTTGATATCTGAATGTATCACGAAATTAAAAGTATTTTATCTAAAAAAAGGTTATTTACATGTATCTATAATAAAATGGAATATTTTCATAATTCAGTTCTTGAGTACTAATAAACTCAATACAAAATAAAGTGTCATTTTATATTCTGAACTATACTTAATAATCCAAAATATATCAGTGAATATTATAATTTATAATTCATGTATTAAAATAATTATAAAATAAGTTATATAGGTACCTGCAGAAGAAGGTAAAAATCAATTTATTTTACATATTATAAAAAAAATATATATATTCAATTGATTCAATTATTATATTTATAAAGACATATTCTATTTGATGTTTGAGACAAAGAATTTATGAAACAATTGAATAATATTGTTTCTTAATCTTCCAGGAAGAAGTACTGTCCAGCTCTTTTTTGTTCCACATCCTAGAAAAATAAATCAGATAAATTTAACGTATGACAAAAATAATAACATAGGTTAACCTTGTTAATATATATATGTCCATAGAAATGTATAACGTTTTGAACAGTTAAGTACCAATCTTAATGCAGTGTATATAATATCAGATTCATGTCATTGAAGCTCTAATCAACACTAGTGCTAGGAATATGTAGAAGTTTGCATTCAACTATAATAAGCAACTGATAACATTTAACATATTATTTCTATATCAATAAGATGATGGCAGACAAAAGAAGAAATCCGTTTTATATAATAAGTTCAAAAACAAAAATTTTAAATGCATATTCAGTTATTATTAAAATGGTATTGCTGATTGCTTAAATTTCTATATTATATTGATGCATATATTATAATATTATCTTAATAAATTTTACTGTATTATATATGTAGGTACTTTATACTCAATCGAGTAATATAGATATATTTTCTTATTCTATGAAGCACAAAGTGGCAAAAAGCCAATTTTTCTACTATAACTAAACTTTAGGATAATTTCAAGTTTGTATGATGACATCAAATATGCTACCTAATACCGACATGACAATGCATAATTATTATTATCCAACCAGTTATTTCAAGAAAAAAATAAATTTGGAATACACCAATTTACTATATTATGTAAATCGTAAATAATAAGTTAAAAATGTTGAATAACTGTTTTTTGCATATGTAACATTTTATAACTGCATATTACATCTATTTTGACTTTTGTAACTTCCTACTCATGACATTGTATAACATTATAAATAAAAATGTTCCCACTTACCTTCACAGAGTTTGTTTTATTAATTCGAGGTCTGAAGTTATTAGGATCCCTTCTAAAAGTAATTCCAAGTAGCTCCAAAAATCTATTCATTCCAGCTAATAATCCTTGAGGTGTATCTGCCGTAGATGTCACTGATGGTTGGCCTTCTAATACAATAACTCGATCCGCCAAATAAGTTGCCATGATAAAATCGTGCTCTACCACAAATCCTGTCTTTTTAGCATGTAAAATGAATCGCTTAATAACTTTAGCAGCAACTAAACGCTGTTCTGAATCCAAATAAGCAGATGGCTCATCAATTAAATATATATCTGCAGGTTTTCCTAAACAAAGCGCAATAGCAACTCTCTGCAATTCTCCACCAGACAAATTTTGAACTTCTTGATCCATAATGTCATCAATTTTCAATGGTTTCATGACTTCCGTTATAAACTGTGGATGGATATAAGCATCTCGAATCTTTTCGTGTAAAAGTACTCGCACCAAACACTGACTTTTGGGACTGATTTTTTGAGGTTTATAGCTTACATTCAACCTTGGTAATTCAACTGCAACATTATGTCAACCAATTGATTTAATTATAAAAAATAATAAACTTGAAATATCAAATAAATATAAAAATGAATAATACCTTTGGCACCATCCGCTGGCATAATACCAGCCAAAAGTTTAATGAATGTTGTTTTTCCAGTACCATTTTCACCTAACAGAACTAAAATTTCAGAATCTGTAAATTGTCCTGTTTCAACCTTCAAATAAAAATTGCCCAAAGTTTTTGACATCTCTGGATATTCATAATGAGTCATGCGTTTAACTTCTTCCTCAGTAGCACTTTCTGAGACTTTAAAAATAAGACTTTCATCTCGGAAACGAAGATTTTCAGTTGGCACAAAACCATCCAAAAATATATTTATGCCTGCAATATAATTAATACAATATATGAAAAATAAAATATATTCAGAATAAATATCTGAACTATAAAATGTATTTTTAGTTAAAAAAAATGAAAAGTAAAATATTAAACCAATAGTGAAATATTTCTTACCTTCACGTACTGAAAAAGGCATAGTGACAACTCCGTAAGCTCCAGGTACTCCATAAAGGACACAAATATAATCAGACAAATAATCTAACACTGATAAATCATGCTCTACTACAATAATGTATCTAGAAAATTATTTTTATTTTTTATTTAATTGGTTGGTATTTTAAAGAGAATTTTCAAAAAATAACTTACTTATCAGGAGCAATGAGGGACCGTATAGTTAAAGCAGCCTTTAAACGCTGTTTAACATCAAGGTAACTAGAAGGCTCGTCAAACATAAATATGTCTCCATTTTGTATACAAACCATTGCACATGCAAAACGTTGCAATTCTCCACCAGAAAGTTGTTCGATGGATCTATCTCTTATTTTATCCAACTCTAAAATAAATTTTAACAAATAGTTATTACAGTCAATTAATATTTAAACAAAATTAGAATTGTAGAGATAAATAAATAATAGCAGTTAAAAAATAATTATACTATAAGTACTAACATACCAAGGAAATCGCATATTTCTTCAATATTATTTCGTTCATTTTTCTTATCCAACAACTGTTGAACAGTACCTTTAACTGCTTTGGGAATTTGATCAACGTATTGAGGTTTTATCATTGCTTTTAAATCATCTTCTAAAATTTTGGTAAAATAATTTTGTAATTCTGATCCTCTAAAATGATTTAATATTTCAGACCAATCGGGTGGATCCTATGAATATTTCAAGATAGTAAAACTTAATTTAAATATCTGCAAAAAAACACTGATAGAATTCCCTATTAAATTTAAATCAACTCACTGAAAAACGTCCAAGATTTGGTTTTTGTTTGCCGGCAAGTATTTTTAATGCAGTGGACTTTCCAATACCATTAGTTCCAACCAAACCTAAGACTTCACCCTGTCTTGGTGTAGGTAATCTATGCAATTTAAATGAATTTTTGGAATACCTATGCGTAGTATCCTTTTCCAAATTACTAGGCAAATTAATGATAGTAATCGCCTCGAATGGGCATTTTTTGACACAAATACCACAACCAATACATAATTCTTCTGATATTGAAGCTATTTTATCATTGGGTGCTACTTCTATACATAATTTACCCATTCTCACGACAGGACAAGATTTTTTGCATTCTTGACGACATCTTTTGGGCTTACATTTATCATTATTCACAATGGCTATTCGGATTTGTTTGTCCGTCTCTTCGACAGCCTTGTTTCGTGGCATTTCAAAATAGTTATTTAAGCTAAAAAAAATTCTACAATATTATTCAAGAATGTGTTCGGTAAATTTGCAAAAGTCAGAATGTACTCAATAATATTGTTATAAACTTTCACAAATAAAACAGTTATAAGAATGTACAATTGTACAACAAAAATAATAACGAAGTTTTCATACCTTATGAAATTATTAACTAAAAACAACTAACAAGTATAGATGAATTGATATAAAAGACTTAACTAATAAGTAATAAATATACAACTAGTCATAAATCAAGAATAAATCGGAATTTAGAACATTCACCTACTAAAATAGGTAGGTGGCTGAACAGTGAACAAAAATACAATATCATTTTATTTTATTCTAGATAAAAACACGTTGACGTCGGCTTTTGATAACCTCAAAATTCAAAAACTTGTTTTCCAAAGAGTATGCACTTCTTTATTGACGTGATAATCTATATGAAATATACCACGGTAAAAGTATAGAGTTGATATGGTACAAACGTAATGATTATACGAGATGATATGGACACAGAAAAGGAATAAATAAAATATAAATAACTTATTTTATAGATAATGATTGGGCGATTATTAATTTATCCACTAAAAATGAGTTTAATATTATAATCATTAATCATTATTCACTATCCGACATTCCGACTTTTGGCAATTTTGTACCATTGAATAAGTACAAAAGCAATAAATTTCCGTTTCTAATCCTATTCAATTTTTTCTCATATTATTAAGTATTTAATTTTTCTTCTGTCAACATAATATATTTAAAATGACAGAAAACAAGGAATCCAAAGAAACCAAATTTAAAGGTAATGTTCAATTGCTATTTAATATTTCTTTTGAATAAATAAAAATCTGAATAAATTGTTGATAAATATGATGCACGATATTTGTAGAATTGGTATCCTACAGCGAACCGGCTCTTCGCAATAATTCTTCAGTCGTCGAATACTGCCGTACGTCAATGTCTGCTTTATCTGGGTGCACTGCTGGCATTCTTGGATTGACTGGACTATCTGGCTTCGTTTTCTACATATTTTCCGTTTTAGCACTATGGGTAACTTTCACTGATAAATAATAATTTTTTTTGTGAAATCTTTATTATTTTGAAAACTCAAGTCTTGTGTCAGAAATATCCTATTGAACTTATTAAAAAAAATCATTTTTCAAAAAAAAAACAGTTATGTTTGAGAGTCAAAAAAATGGGATTCAGAACAATAATTGGTTTATATAATAATTTATAAAAATATATATTAGTATATAATGTCTTCATTAACAACTATTAATGATTTTGTTCACAAGAACTCATAACCCTGAACAAAATTTGAAACCCAATTTAGACACTACCTACTCCTCAATCAATATTAATTAACCATTGCATTTTACGCCTTTAAGAACTGCATTTTTGTTATATATTTTTACTGATTATTCCCATTTCTAGTTACAATGAACCAATGAAATAATTATAAGTAGAGCGTGGATCTGTATGCATCAAAAACCAACCATATATGCATAAATATACAAACAAAAAATTAAAAATTAACAAAAAAACTATAAAGTAATAAATATTAAATATAGTAATATAAAAGTGAATTACGAAATGTAGCACACACAAACGTACTGTAAATATTTTAACACTGAAATAGTGAAATAATGTCAATGGTCAATCATGGTCGTAACCGATATTTTCTTATCTCGGTATATGTATTTTATTTCCCCGATTATTGATCTAAGGTCATGTTTGGGAAAACCGTTTATTAATTAATTGAAACTATAGAAATATAATAATTTTTTTTCTTATAATACTATAAATTTCAAAAATGTCAAAAAACCAAAACAACATATGCATTAAAAGATGACAAATGCAATTCAAATTGTAAAATAAGCCCTTAAAATAGAAAAATGTCGAAATATGCAAAAATATCTGCTTGAAAGTTTTATTTATTTATTTTTTATGTCAAGAAACAAATGTTGTGCCCACTTTGAATGTCATACTGTCAACCAGAATACATATGCATACAAATCCGCTCTTTAATTATAAGGATAAACTAATTGCATTTACATCAAATTATGAGTTACATTTGGATATAATTTAAGTTGTATTGTAAAATGAAGTTATGTCTTTCCAAAACCTTACTTTTTAAATATCTGATCTAAAATCAAGTTTATTAAATAGTCTTGAATTATAAAACTACATTCATAGTTTTAAAATAGTATTTACTTATTTGACTACCTACATCTGCTGCTACAGCATAGATATTATTTTCAAAATTGAAAATTTACTTGTTACAAAAAAAAACATATTGAGATTGATTTCTAGAAGTAGTTACTCACTTTATTATAAGTCAAAGTACAGATGAATTAGTTATGGACAATCGGTACAGCTTAATTATGAGAAAAAAAATTAAATATATATTTTAGTGAATATGATTATAGCTAATTAAACTTTTTTTTATTAAATGAATGTTAAGATAATTTAGACACTTTAAAAAATGTAAGAAAATGACTTATTTCACCTACACTCATGACACATTTATGGATTTAATTAAATTTTTTTTTTCAGGGTTTGTTACTGTTCAAAGCAGGAAACTTGTGGCAAAAATATTTCCTTAACAGACATAGTCTATTAACAGGAGGTTTTTTCAGTGGACTTTTTGTATCCTTTTTATAAAATATATTATAAAAATAATTACAAAGATTTTTTAATATTATATATATTCAGGGTCAGATTAACATTATATTATATTGGTAATTTATACCTATAGATTATTATTTTTATTGACATAGAACAAAAATGGACCTAAGGGTTGGAGCACGTTTAATTATTGTAGCCAATACTCTTTAAAAACAATTATTTGAAAATTCTATATAAAAAAAATCTCAATTTTTGTTAATGCTACTTTATATTTTCAAACATTACTGCAGAAAAAAATATTACATCCTTTATTTGTTTAAAAAATAAATGGATAAATGAGGTTGCTATGCTTATCACTGTTAATAATTATATTATTCATCAGTTGCTATTCTCAGCGTAGGTATTGTATTGAAAAATAATAATGAATTTTTCCTTATAGCAAATACTCCATCACCATAGGAAAATAAAAATTCATCCAGCTCCCCAAAAACAAATATATGTTATAAAAATTAAATTGTAAATAACTTCATAGTTACCATGCAATTTTTTATGTGATGAATACAATGTTTATTTCATATGATTGACTCACCTTCAAACATATTTTTTTAATTTTGTGCAAACACAGCTATAGCACGTGCACTAGCCACACCTCTTTTGAATTAAAATTTATACTATTTTATATTTAAATATTAAACAAAATTCTGTTTTGGCCTCTAAATTATATTTAGTGATTGTATACTAAACAATGCAACTCAACTATGTTATTTTTCATTACTATTTAATCTATAATTTTGTTAATCTGAACCTGAATATGTTAATTGGTTGTTATAAACATCTGAAATTGTTTCGAAATTACAATTACTTTCCTTAATTAACTATTTTCAGACATATGTATTATTTTGGACGTATCCTTTTTGAATTGAATCATTATTGTTTTCTTATAAATTAAGATAATTTGAATTAGTTATTTTCACTATTTAAAACTATATTTGACACAGTGGTGATCAAACGATGTTGCAAAGGGCAGATCCCCACCCATGAGCATTTTTTATACATTTATAATAACTTAAAAAGGTAACCTACATTCTTTTTTAATGATGAAAATTATGTATGTGAAAAAATCAGCCTTATGACCTTACAAAATCATTGACCACCACTGATTTGGACATTTGGCATATAGTTAAGCTTGTTATGGTAGTTTTATTCTATCATTTCAAATATTATGTTAATGACGAGGTGTAAGCTTTTTGCAAGGATATTTTATCAACTACAAATTTCTAAGTTTGCAAAAGAGTTACATTTTTTCTGTTGACCATTTACTTTAATTTAAAAATTAATATATTATCTTGAAAAATTTATTACAATTCTAAATTTTGCATAATACATACATTGAATTACATTTTACATGACGTATTACTACAATACTATTTTTATAAGATAACAATTTAAATTCAAATTTTGACATTATTATTTTCAGTAGGACTTAATGAATATTTTAAGAGCTATTTTACAAACTACTGAACTTCAAATAATTTGAAATGTAGCAAAAGATAATTTTGAAGGATTGTGTGTATATTTTTAATACATTTCAAAATCAATACTTATTATTAACTTGAGTTTAATTTATATAGCATATTATATTTATTTATTTACATATATCCAGGGATCTATTACAGGATGTAGTATTTGCAAGGGATATGTGCCCTGAGGATCCTCTGCAGTATGATACATTTATAGTACGCTCGAAAAAAAATTAATAAAAAAAAAAATTTGACAATTAATATTGAATGATTTTAATCTATCAATGTATGGGTGGAGATAATAGTATTCAGTGTGGATATATGAATTATGTTGGACGTACATTTTGCTAACCTTCTCTATGCAAACTTATAATTTGAAAATGATGCAACACTCATTCTAAACGAACTTACTTTTTTTAATTCCACATTTTTCCCAAATTTTTAATATCCAAACCCATTTTTTGATTTTGCACATATCCCCATATCATGTTTGCAAGTAAAAAGCACAAATGAGCATTGGAGCTCTAAAATTTTTTTTGAAAATATGACTAATGGTGTATATATTTTGACCTTAGTGGCACATATTCACCTAAAGGCATACTAATTATTAACAACAAAACAATTTAAAAGTTCATATTTTGGCGAGGAAGGAAATTTATAAATCATTTTTTTTACAGTAACTTCACTATATTTAGGCATGTTTTATTATTTGGTGGGTCCTAGGTTTACCCCTCTTATACCGCCCATACGAATGGGTAAGAGAAAAGCACTTGCAAGTGTTTACCCTTGGGCACAAAATAGCTTACACGGGTCTACAGCTAGTAAATGTTATGAAGAAAGAGGTTAATGATAGGTGATCGCCGCCTCTGACTTTTTAAAGGTGTGATAACACTTAAGACTAAGTTTGTTTTAGGGTTTAATATGTTTTCTAAAATAAATCATTGATTATGTATAACATTTTAACCCCATACGACGGATTAAGTAATTAGTAGTTAGGCTACAAATTTAAATATACAAACTTCAAAACAATTATGTATATTAGGCATTGGCCAACTTTGCCTCACCATAAAAAATAGACATGCCTATGTATAATAATGACCTAATATTAAGGTTCTCTATTACACAAATATGTATTAGTACATTGAAATTAATAATAATTCTTAACTTTTTATTAACAGATTTTTATATGGTATGGTACATGTCTATTAATTATTTTTCTTATGTATTCTTATGATTTTTTTTTTAAAGTCTGAAATAAATTGTGTATCTTAGATGTATTATGTGAAAATAAATAATAAAAACAATTTATTGCTTTATAAGGTATTATAATAATCATGTTTAATAATTTTTTTTTGTAATAATAATAATAATATAATAATGTATAATAATAATAATAAATTATCACTAATTTAACAACATGAAGGTAAATTTTATTAAGTTTACCATAAATGGTAATAAATTTTTGGTTAGGTATGGTATATTATATTATATAGTAGAATTAATGTTGTAAATAATAAAATTTTAAACAGTCAATCATTACTTAATTAGTCTAGATTCTACATTAGAACACCAGCCTTAAAAAAATCAATATTTAACAATATTTTGAGACCTAACAGCTAAGTAATAAACAATTATTTGAGGTCATATATTTCACCGAATCCAGTTTTGGTATTGTCTTTTTGGCCATCATCATTGTTTTTGACAATCTCGTACTCTTGTAGTTCTGCCTCCAACTCATTTTCCCAATGTTCTTCTACAAACCGGGTCCGTAAATTTTTAATAAACACACAAGGATAGGAAAAGTACTTATAGATCTTATGGGTATAAATTATTATTGCACATTAAGGATATAGGAAAAGCGATTAGAAGAGAAAATACGCTTTTTGGGGGAATGGAAGCGAAGCGCTTAAAGAAAGTCGTCTTGTGGTTGCAATTTGTTGACATCGTTTCAAGCTGTTAACACAATACACACACACACACACATGTTTGTTTAAAAATACATTCAGTCCACACACATGAATGAATTTCATGTATGTTAGAAAATAAGCATATACTGAATGTTAATCCTAGTATGATAATTAAGAAGGGGACATCTACAAATAGTCATTAAATCATTCAGTAGTAAAATGATTTTACTTACCAATTGCATGAATCAATTAATAAAATTAGAACTTTTATGAATTTTATATAAATTTAGAATTATTCGAATTAAAAGTTATAAAATAATAATTTGTAAATTATATGAAGTTCTCATGCATTTCATATGATAAAAAAATGTTTAGACTCAAAAATTTGGATGTCAAATAAAATTTACAATAATCATAAAAAAACAAGGATTCATAGTAAATTAAAGTGCAATACCAAACTATAAACAAATATAACATAAATAACAAACGCATATACATAAATTCAATAGTAAAAATATGTGCAATTGGTCTGATATTTATTTAGATTTTATAATAATAAAAATTGTGTGTATTTTAAAGTTAAATTATTAACATTTTTCAATATTATGGAAAAATATAATTAATTTAAAAAACATTACAACAATGTTTATAAACATAATATTTATAAATTATGAAGCCAATGTTCATGCATAATGTTTCTGTTCATTTGAATTTCCATAATTCGTGAGAATTTTTCACTAAGTGCATTCATACCAAAATTAAAATTAAATAAGGCAAATATTATTTACATTTACGATAATACAAAACTATTTTTAAACGTACATTTAAATTAATTTCGATATTAGGCTTTTTTTTATATATAAAAAAAGTAAAACAGTCTATATCAAAAAAAAAAAAAAATAGGTAGTAATTTCTTTCAAATATTTTTTAAATATTTAATAGACTTTTCAGAACAGTATTAACCTCATGGTTATTTCAGTCCATTACTACCACTTAATTTTAAAATGTATAATTACTTTAATATAGGTACAATGTATGATGTACCAGAATCGTGTATTTATTATGTAAAATAATAAGACAATCGCAATTAGTATGAGCCTATATTTAAATACATTTTTAATTAATTTCAATAAAATAATTCATGATTCTTTGGATATAGACTTTTTTTCTTTCACTTACCATTTTCTGAAGACTCAACGCCCAAACTTTCTTTCAAACTCTTCCTTATTTCATTTATTTCATTTGTATCATGTTCTGCAAATGTGTCGGATACAAACTCTGATTCTTTCACATAAGTGTCATTTTTCGTGGTGTCTATTGTTACAATAATAATTTTTAAAAGAAGCAAAACAAAGTGTATGCTAAATTAAATAATAATGTGTGCATTATTTCACTAAAATTTGAAGTAAATGGCATAAGAACAGGTACTATAGTCCAAAGATAACTTCATGCAAAAACAAAACATCACATTTTTATGAAAATAAACAGCTGTATGTTTAATTTTCTATGATAATTTGTCTAATATATAAATTAAAATTGAATTGTTAACATGTTTCTAAATATTTAAATCTTAAAATAATTATTTAATAAGGTTAAGGGGTTTTTAATGTATATTATATTTATGCTATTTATCTTAATTTAATTACCTGTCAAATCAGAATTGACATTTGATGATGCTGTTTTGTAATCTGTTGTCTCTAGTGATTCCAAATTGCTTGCATTGCAAATTAAATTGACTCTGTAGAAATAGTTTTGCCAGAAACTTTCTTCATTTATTCTAAATAAAATTAATTTCAGATAAAAGATACAAATGATTGTATTATGAGAATTAGAACTTACATTTTGGGAACAAGATCAAATCGCATTTTCTCTAAGTTTGGGTCTTCAGCTAAAATAGCCAAGGCAACAGGATATGAAGTCTCATAGTTGAAACTGAAATCTACACCTACTGGAGGACTGCGTACAAAATTACGCTTATCCTAGAAATAAAATATAAGTATAATATCTTATAATACAAATAATTTTGAACATACATAAATAAAAATACATTCAATTATCGATACATCAAATCTCAAGGGGAACAGAAAATAGTTAAAGATATCGTGTCTTAATGTATTGTAATTTCAGGGGGATTCAATTTAGTTTAGAGGTACTGAACAATTTGAGATATCAAGGTTTGACACATCAAGATCTGCTGTATTTATGAAATCATGATTTACATTATTTATACTAATTTTGAAACAATTATGATAATTTTTGTTATTTAAAATCAACATTAACAATAATGCCACCAAAGCTTGTGGTTTAAAATCATTTGATATTAAATTAATCGATCAGTACAACATATAAACAAAAGACCGCAAAAGACTGGATTAATATGTCAGTATTTGAGATCTTTAATTGTGAGTTTAATAAGTTTAATATTTTCTATAGTTAGATATTTCTTTCAAAAAATATGAGAAACCAAAATAAAAGAACCCGACTCTAAAATAAATAAATTACCTAGTATTAAGAAATCCTAATCAAAATGTTTTATTTTATACTAACTGTAGATAATGCAAGACATTCAGCTTTAACGGCTTCTTCATTTGGATGACCAATCCAAGGTGGAACAGCGGCAACCTCACTATCTTTTTTATCCTTTAAAAATGATTCCTGTTCTTTGTTTAATTCCCCAAGTATACCCTATACAATCATACAAATATACAATCATTATTCAAACAGCAGTCAAACATAAAATCATCTAAACTCTGTTCATCAAGAGAATGTGCCAATTCTGAAGTTTCCTCGTCACCTAGCTATCAAAACCAGTTCCCCAATGGCAAGGTGTTGCGCGGGGATGAGCAAAAAAACAGATTTTAGTCGGCACAATTTCTCGCTGGACAGAGTATATATATATTATTATAATCAGAGTACAGTATAACATTATAATACAATGTCAGTATACACTGTAAAGAGTAAGATCTAATTTAAATATTTAATCATATCAAACATAGGTACATATTTATTCTTTAAACTATTCTACAAGGGATATAAAATTGGATATAATCTGATTCTGCAATTTAATATTTTGTTTACACTACTTCACTAATTGTCAACATGTAAACAAAATTCTTATTTTTGTTTTTTTAATACATCTACTAGTTGTTAATTGTTTTTTTAACAATACATATTATTTACAAAAGGATTCCCTAACATAATGGATGTCTTACCTATCCAAAATACTTTTCTATTTTCAACTCTCCTCTTTTTTTTTAATCATTATTATTTATACACTTTTTAAAACTTTTTTATACAATAGACAGATTTAGGAAGTTTATCAAGAGTTATTTTTATGATACAATATACAAATAAAAATTTATCTTAACATAATGTGATTTGTAACGTTTTGGTAAAAATTAAGTTTGTATTTAACCGTTATTAAATTAAAAAATCATTCAATTTTAGAATATTATTTTAAGTAGATACCGTGCAAACTGCATACCAAAGAATTTACTGGTTCTAAAAGTTG